TATGTGCATGTAAACAATGGAATGCTTTCATCTTTGGAAAAGAGAAAGTTGGACTTTGCACACGTGGATGGAACAAGAAGGGGATTGGGCTAAGTGAATGTCTGAAGGATAGAGATCACAAACGAACTGATCACATATGTAAGTGGTATATTAAAAAATGAGTAGCATTCAATCCAAACAAATCCTTAGATTCAGACCACCGAATTGAAGTTTCCATATGGGGGTGCAAACTGAGAGTCCAGTGGAATATGGTGTCAGAATATTGACATGTTTTTGACGTGGGTGGGAGATCCATGGTACTCTTAGAAGTGTTTAAGGGGCGGGAGCTGCACAAAGCAGACATGGGTTTGATTCCTTGTGCCCAATTATTGCCCCCCAACTCCACTTGGAGTGAAACCTGAGCTCAGAGTCATGAGGAAGCCCTGAGCACCACTGGATATCCACCTCCAAAACTAAAGTAATGCAAGCAGATAAAAAGGTGGAAGTGTCTATACTCTAATAAACCTATATTTTCTCATAAAAAAAAAACCTGGTAGCTAGAGTCCAACCAGAAGTGTTCCATGAGCATAGAGCCAAGAGTTAGGCCTGAGCACCTCTGGGCATGGCCCACAAACCATAAATAAATATTATAAAACTGTGCCATTAGTTAAATGTTCTTGGAAGGCAAAGTTTTAGTATTGTTTTTAAATAAAAAATTTAAGATCACTTGATCACTTGATCACTTGACATCCCATTACTCATCGATTTGCTTGAGTGGGCCCCAGTAACATCTCCATTCATCCCTGTCATGTGCTAGTGTAGTCCAATGGCATCTAATTGTTCTAGGAACATGAAGAGCCTCAGACTGATCATTCAGGAACTTGACGAAGAAGTCTGACCATCTCGTAGGTGGGGGGCCATGCGATCTTATAACGTCCCATAGATCCCAGTCATTTAATGTCTCTAGTCCAGCGGTCATCTCCAAATCTCATCATATCTCCAGCCCATCTGATTTTCGATGCCAAGACAAACTGATAACTTCCCTGATTCTTGATTGTCGACAGAGGTCGGAACTCCGGATTCTTTCTCTCACTTGAGTGAAGCGTCATACTCCAAGCATAGCTCTTTTGATTTGGGAGACCCAAATAGCGTTCTCATCCTGTTTTCGTAGGACCCAGGTCTCTGAGGCATGTGTTAATGCAGGAAGAACAGTGGAATCGAAGATATGTGCCCGGAGCTGGAGGTTCTTCATCCTCTCAGCTATTTCCTCAATGCTCTTGAAGGTGTTCCATGCTGCTCTCTTCCTCCTGGCAACTCAGGTGCCAGGTTATTCATCATGTTCACTTCTCTACCTAAGTATACATAACTGTTGCATTCGAAGGTGTTTGTTCCATTGAGACCGAATGGACTGTCAGGAACAAGAGCATTTCTCATAAGTATTGTCTTCATGAGATTCGGCTGTAGTCCGACTTTCCCACACACACGGTCAATGTCGGTCAGCATATGTGCCACTTGGCTAATGTTTGGTGTTATTAGAACGATGTCATCAGCAAAGCGGAGGTGGTGTAGTTGCTGACCATCTATCTTCACTCCCATTCCTTCCCATTCCAGTTGTCACATGATGTTCTTGAGGGTGACTCTGAAGAGTTTTGGGGAAATGGTACCCTTGCTCTTGACATGAATGATCAGTTCCTTGAAGAATGGTGAGATCGTGGTAGTGAACCCATAACACAGCTCAGGGTGGATCCTGATGTATTATTGAGTTTGAATGCCCTGTTTGGCTAGGGCTTCGATGACTGCTTCTGTCTCAACAGAATCAAAGGCCTTCTTTAAATCAATGAACGTTAGACAGAGTGGCATCATGAACTCTCGTAAAAACTCAATGAGCTTGGTTATCATGTGGATATGATTGATGTTGCTGAATCCTTTTCGGAACCCGCCTTGCTCGCATGGTTGTCCTTCGTCTAGTGTTCTGCCAATCCTATTCAGGATGACTCAAATGAACGGCTTGTAGATGATAGACAATAGGCAGATCAGGTGATAGTTGCCAATGTTGTGGATGTCTCCCTTCTTGTACAGTAGTACAGTCCTGCTGGTTTTCCATTAGGATGGAACCTTGCATTCAGACAGGTAGCATGTGAAGAGCCAAGCCAGTGTGTTGATGAGTACTGATGGCAGGTTCCTCAGGAGTTCGGATCTGATCTTGTCTGGTCCGGGTGCAATTCGCTTCTTTACCAATGAAAGAGCATGTCGGATTTCAGAAGGGAGACCTTGGGAACGACATATACATCCTGTGGAATTTGGTATCTGGGCAGGTGGCTATAGAAGAGATCTGAGTAGAAGTCATGGATAATCTTCTCCATTGCCCTTCTGGAACATGTGATAAATCCATCAGGATGTCGGAGGGCAGTCATCTTGGTCTTTTAGTTGACAAAGGACAGCGTACTGGCATTGCGAATGCATTTCCTGGCTTCTGCTGCATCTGCCAGCACTGCTGCTCTTCTCTCTTTGAGGTCTTCCTTTATCACTTCTCTGCACTGCTTTGTGAACTCAGGTGTTTGTTTGCGGTTGCCTGAGCCTTGTGCCAAGCCACTTTGGTGAATAAACTCAAGAGTTTTCTAAGAAAGGAGTATTTTTTGTGGCTATCTCTCTCTCAGCATTCCTCACACAATCATGGAGGTGCTGAAACAGTAAATCATTTTCCTCGTCAATTTTGTCAATGATGGCATCTTCTCATGTTGCCACAATAGTGTCAAAGAGCTCCCAGTTGGTGGTCATTATCTTCTTAAACTTTGCATTTCTTTCTCCCCACTCTGTGAAGTAGAATTTTGCATGAAGGAGACGGTGGTCCGATCCCATTTGGAATTTTGGGACAACAGCAACATCGGTCAGGCAAAACCGTCAATTGAATATGATTTGGTCTATTTCATTGTGGAACTGTCCACTGGGAGACTCCCATGTCTAACGTTTAGATTCGGCCTTTTGGAACTGTGAGTTACCATGGATGGTCTTGGTTGACATGATGAACTCAGACAGTCTGTCACCCTGTTCGTTCCATTCTAGGCCATGCGTCCCAATGTAGACTTCTTTGGGCAACATTCTCAGTCCTATCTTGGCATTAAAATCTCCAACAATGATCTTGTAGAAGGTGTAGTCTTCTTTATAGAACTTCTCCAGCTCCATGTAGAACTTCTCAATTTCTCTTTCATCATAATTGGATTTTGGTGCATAGACAATGAGGATAGAAACTGCCAGCAGTGAGCCACATCTATTCAAGAGTAATCATCCCATTCAGGTCGTTAGCATTCAAATGAATCAATGCTCATGGCCAAGTTTGTGTTGACAAGGACGCCGACACCACCAATGCCTCTTTTGTTGGATGTTCTGTGGAAGAGTTCTTCTCCAGTGTCGAAAACGGTATGATGTGATTGATGCCTTCTTGTCTCGGTCAGACCAATGATGTCGTACTTGATCATTCGCCCTTGTACCATCAGGTCCTCAATTGATGCATCTGATGGCAGTGTACGTTCATTGAAAGTACATTCATTTTTGTCCTTCGTTATGGCAGCCTAGTTCAACTTTGAGATTTTATCAGCCTCTCCTTCCACATCCTTCTTAACACTGCTGTATTGGGTGAGGGGAATGAGACCTATTGTATTTACTGATTTGGTATATTGAATATGCCATGGATAGCCTGCCAGGCTCTGCCATGCTGTCTGAATATTCTCAGTAGCTTGCCAGGCTCTCTGAGAGGGGTAGAGGCTTTTAGGGCAACCTTTAATCGCCCTTGCAGGTGTTTTCATGGTTCAAATCATATTTGAACCCTATCAAATATGGTGCATTTGGAGTGATAGCACAGGGTTGGAGTGGTAGCACATTGGGTAAGGTGTTTGCCTTGCACACAGCTGGCCTGGCCAACCCAGGTTCGATTCCTCTGCCCCTCTCAGAGAGCCCAGCAAACTACCAAGAGAATATCACCTGCACGGTAAAGCCTGGCAAGCTACCCATGACATACTCAATATGCCAAACACAGTAACAAGTGTCACAATGGAGACGTTACTGTGCCTGCTCCAGCAAATTGATGAACAACGGGAGGACAGTGACAGTGACAGTGACAGTGAATCTTGGGAAATGGGTATTAAGTGTTTTATGATGTGTCGCATGGCCATAGCAGAAAGTGACCTAGAGCCTGGCGGCTGAGTAGTGGAGGTAGTGGAGGTCTGCCGATGAGGTATTTATCTGGTACTGGTAGGTGGGTCTTCTGTGTGTAATCCCTGGGTTGCCAGAGGTCGACCTCCACTATCTCCACTATCCAGTCACCACCACGCTCCAGGACACTTTCTGGATGCTCAGGCTGAGACTCACACATAAATGAAGCCCACAGAATCAGGTAAGCGGAACTCTGTGACCTTGGACTCCAGGCTCAACAGGGACCTGGGAACAGAGATCCTCTGGCTGCTTTCACCAATCTCTGGCGACCAAGGGATTAAAACCAGAAGCCCCACCCGACCCTGCCCTGTCTGCTTCCACCAACCTCCTGTGACCCAGGGATTGCATACAGAAGAAACTTAAGAAAAGAAACAAATTCAAATATTTATTTGAGTAAAGTTATTTTGATTTTGGGCTTACAAGATCATTTTTAATTAACATTTTTTAAAAAGACCTCTACCTCCAACAGTGTTGATGAAAGAGACACTGTTTAGAGAAATTCTCTTCGTATCTATATCCATAACTCTGCTTTGGTGTTTTATTGTACATGTGCAAAGGGTCCTTCCCACATCCCATTTTCCATCTTTAGCCCACATGAATGATAAACCTCATCTTTGACTCTATGGAGTTGGTAAATAAATATCAAACTTTATAAGGACTTCTCATGAGAAAGTATGATAGCAGCACTGATATTTAATTTCCAGGAATATAAAAAGAAATAAAAGAATGGGCAAATCACTATGTGGGGGGTCCAGAATGAGATACAGTTAAATAAATAAGCCATTTTGAATTTATCTGTGTCTCATTGCCAGAATATTGAAGTGCCTGTGGAGCAGACCCAAAACCTGAACATATACTGTCACTTTGCAAATGGTATTGGTGAGCCCAAGTACATGCCTGTAAAATCATGGGAACTTTTGAGTCAGATTCTTGTAGAAGCCTTGGATAACCACAATGAAGTCAACACAGTAATGGATCTAGTTCTCTTTGAGGATGCCATGCATCACGTGTAAGTATGCTGTATTTTTTATTTTCTGCACTTTTCTCTTCTATCAAATGTCAGAAGTCTTAGATATTTGACAATACATTGATAAAACCAAGAAAGTGTGAAGTTCTTCTCTCACAAAAGTCAAGAAGAGACTCTTAGAGTAACAGCTGTAGCATTTGTCACAGGCCCTCAGGAGCAAATAGTGGACTCAGAGATAGACTTATTTTTTTCTTATCTGAGGTATAATCACAATGTCACTGTCACTGTCATCCCATTGATCTTCGATTTACTTGAGCAGATGCCAGTAACATCTCTATTCATCCCAGCCCTGAAATTTTAGCAGTCTCTTCTTACTCATCTTTTCCCAATAATTGAAGGCTCTTTAAGGGTCAGGGGAATGAGACCTATTGTCGTTACTGTATTTGGCATATTGAATATGCCACGAGGGGCTTGCCAGGCTCTGCTCATGCAGGCAGGATACTCTGGATAGCTTGCCAGGCTCTCTGAAAGGCATAAATGGGTAGGAAGCATCATAATGTGTTGCGTGGCCATGCAGTACAGGAAGCGGCCTGGAGCGTGGCAGTGGTTGGGCAGTGGTTGACTGCTGGGGCTGGGTCCCTTGGTATGGAGAGAGCTCTCACCCACCCCATAGCCTGGTGCGGAGTCTGGTGGCATGGTTCTGGGGGCCTCCTTCTATACTCCCATCTGGGAGGAGCATCCATGAGTTCTGGAGGGTCGCCAATGAGGAGATTATCTGGTGCTGGAAGGGTGTGGCTTAGGGGTGTGATCCCTGAAATCACACACCATAATCACAATGACACCAAGAAAAATTTGGGATCATAAAGAAGCACCTAAACAGATCAGAACTCTTTCCAAACCTTAAACTAAGCTAAATTTTAAATTATTATGGTAAAGATTTTGTTTATTAAGCGAGGAACTCCCAAGCTATGCTCAGAGGGTCTGGACCCACTCATGGTAATTCTCAGATAACCAAGCCAATGGTTCAACAAGACCTGGGGATTAAAGCCAGGTCAACAGTGTGCAAGGCATGCATATTACCTCATACTATCTCTGAACCAAAGCTCTTAGTTAATTTCAAAAAATTAAGTATTGCTTGAAATAATGTTTCTATCAAATTAAAGAATGAGTGGAGCTATCAAACCTCCCAAACAATTTATACTCAAACTATTCTGTGCTTATACTTCACTTCATATTCCCCAATCTGAGTCCCATAACTTTAAATTATACATGAGGAAATTTATATGAGGAAAGAAAAAAGTCACCTAAGATGACACACCCTAGAATTAGGTAAGCCAGCACAGTCTGCATCCAAAAACATACATAATTTTGGCCATCATACCCCGATACTTCTTCATTTGTTAACCCAGTGTAAATCCTTGAGTCCACAGAGGACTTATTTGTTCACTGCTAAATATATACTAAAACACAGTAAGTGTTCCACGATAATGGATTTTGCTTTGTTTATTTGAGACACCATGATTTGTAATACTGTTAATAATAATGTTTCATTCCAACATCACACCATTGACCAGTGCCCATCCTCCTCTCCATCACTAATGACACTTTGTACATGTAAGCTCATTTCTATAGATCAATTCTCATATTCTGTTGCCTTTGGCCATTTTTTACTATCTTTACATCCAATGTGAGAGAAATCATTCTGTATTTCTCCCTTTTCTTCTAACTTCATTCAACGTGATACTCTTTAGATCCATTCACACCACAGAAAATTGCATTATTCTGTCTTTTCTTATATCCAAGTAATAAACCACTGTGTGTATATACCATTTTTTAATCCAATCATTTGTTCTTGGACATTCAGGTTGACATTAAACTGCAGGAATTTTTCAGTGACTTAATGTAATTTGCCAAGCAAATGAAAGCAAAAGTAAACAAATGAGGCTACATCACATAAAGAAGCTTCTGCACCACAGAAGAAACGATGATCAAATTAAAAAGCATTTCACATACTGGGAGAGAATATTTGTTCAATACTCATCTGAGAAAGGTTTAATATCCATGAGATATAAAGCACTTGTAAAATTAACAAGAAAAAGACACTAACCCCATTAAAAAAATTGGCCAAAGAGATTAATTTTTCTCCTTAAATTTTTATTAGTGAAACACCATGAGGTACAGTTTTGTGCTTGGGTTTCAGTTATACAATGATCAGATACCTGTCCCTCCACCAGTGCCCATTCTCCACCACCACCAGTCCCAGTATCCCTCCCACCCCCCTTGCCTCCATCCCACCCTACCTCTGTGGCAGGGCATTCCCTTTTGTTATCGCTCTCCTTTTGAGTACTGTGGTTTGCAAAAGAGACATTGATTGGCAATCTTATTCGGACTATAGTCTACTCTCATCATGCGTTTCCCATCCTGAGAGGAACCTCCCAACACCCTTTATTTGGTGCTCCCTTCTCTATCTGAGCTGCCTTTTCCCCTAGTGTGTGTGGCTTTCCTCAAAGCCATGGAGTAATCCTCCTGGTACTTATCTCGGCTATTCTTGAGTGTTAGTCTCCTATTTTGTTACTGTATGTTCCCCAGATGAATGCAATCTTTCTATGTCTATCCCTCTCTTTCTGAGTCATTTCGCTTAACATGATACTTTCCATGTAGTACCACTTGTATGTAAATTTCATGACTTCATCCTTTCTGACAGCTACATAGTATTCCATTGTGTAGATGTACCAAAGCTTCTCTAACCAGTCATCTGTTCTTGGGCACTCAGGTTTTTTCCAGATTCTAGGTATTGTAAACAGTGCTGCAATGAACAGACAACTGCAGATGTTGCTTTGACTATACTTTTTTGCCTCTCTGGTGTATATTCCCAGGAGTGGAATTGCTGGGTCAAATGGGAGCTCAATTTCTAGTTTTTTGAGAATCGTCCATACTGTTTTCCAGAAGGGCTGAACCAGTCGGTATTCCCACCAGCAGTGAAGGAGGGTCCCTTTCTTGTCACATCCTCGCCAGCACCGGTTGTTTTTGTTCTTTTGGATGTGGGCCAGTCTTTGTGGTGTGAAATGATATCTCGTTGTTTTGATCTGCATCTCCCTGATGACTAATGATGTAGAGCATTTTCTCATGTGTCTTTTAGCCATTCGGATTTCATCTTTGAGGAAGTTTCTGTTCATTTTGTCACCCCATTTTCTGATAGGGTAGGATGTTTTCTTTTTGTGGAGTTCAACCAGTACTTTGTATATCCAAAGAGATTAATTTCCTCAAAGAAGACATGCAGATGGCCAATAGGTACATGAAAATATCCTTTCTATAACCTATTCATTGGAGAACCAAAACACAATTATATGTTACCTCACATAAATGACACCTGCACACATTAGAAAGAACAAAACTAACTATTATTGGCACAGATCTGGTGAAAAAGAAACCCTTATCAATTGCTAGTGGAAATGTCAACTGTTTCAACATCTCTGTAAAACAGTTTCTGCACTTCTCAGAAAAAAAAGAATTGAACTTCCATTGACTAAACAAATCTACTTGGCTTCTACACCAAGTTCCCAAAACCTCTATTCAGAAAAGATATTTATGCTCTCATGTCTCTTGCAGCATTATTCATAGAGGCCAAAATATGGAAACAACCCAAGCTTCCAGAACAGAGGATGGGATAAAAGTTTCACTAAGTATGTTGTAAAATCAGTGTTAATTTTTCTTCCTCTTTAAGAGCTACTATCGCCTATGTCATAGTCCTGGAATTGAGAAAACATTTTGTTCACGAAGAGTGAATTTAATAGAACAGTAAGTGATTCAGTCATGTGGTTTCACAACATGGGTGACCAAATAATACTGTTTTTAGAGGGAAAATAAATGCAGGGTATGAAAACCAACTTTCTTTCCTCCTGCGACTCATAAACAGATTTTGAAGTTAGTTTTGAAATAGAAACCTAAGCTTCATTTTGCAATGGCAGTAACTAGAATAATGAAGAATAATGAATTGCCTTGAGGGGGGACTGTTCTGAAGAATAAAGTATTTGGAGATGTATAATTTTCTGTTCACATGGTTGAAAATATCAATGTTCCATGACTTCAAGCTTTCATTTCCTCTCCCTCCCCTCACTAGATTACTTGATCCCACTTTGCTGCCCCTACCAATCAGATATTACAAAAACATTTCCTTATTAAACCAGAAAAACAGTCCAGGGAGAAACAGATGGCGTAAGAATTCCATGCCTTCACCCCACTGTGTGCAAGTTCAAGATATGGGAGAGTTTAGACTCAGTCCAGGAACTTTCACCTTCTGATCCCTAAGCCTGGAGCGGCAGGGCAGAGGAGAGAGGATTCTGTAGACACTTTCTCAGAAAGCCACGAGCCAAGGCCCTTTGGGAGTTACGGATATAATAACACTCATTCTTGTTTTCTAATAAGATTTGTTCTTGTTTTCTTATCAAGTTACCTTGCCATTTCACTTCTTAAATTTTTCTTTTATTTGAATCCTGTACACCATTCCCATGCTCTTCCCAGAATGCAATAATGAAAAGCTGTGTAGTTGTTCATAGCCTAATTTGTTCTGAGGGGTTCAAGCTCAAATTCTCGGTGTGCTACAAATTTACTGAGGAACCGTGGAAGGGATATTTCAAACCTCAAATTTCCTGATCTGGAAGGGAGGATAATAAGAGTATTTTTGTTGTACATTTGTTCCAATTTATGTGATGTGTTCGTATCTTAAGCATCCTATAAGTGTTAGTTTGGTTTGGTTTGGTTTTGCCTTATTATCTTCTGTCTTTTATAGAACCATTTTTTTTACTACTGACTTTAGAGCGATAGCACAGCGGTGGGGCATTTGCCTTGCACGCAGCCAACATGGCCGACTCAAGTTCGATTCCTCCGCCCCTCTCGGAGAGCCCGGCAAGCTACCGAGAGTATCTTGTCCCCACAGCAGAGCCTGGCAAGCTACCCATGATGTATTCGATATGCCAAACACAGTAACAACAAAAGTCTCCAATGGAGACATTACTGGGCCCGCTCGAGCAAATCGATGAACA